CATAGATACTTTATTATGGTATAGTATTTAAATATATGCCTGAGAAACACATACTAATACTGCCCCTTTAACATAATTCAAAGATAGTGAGTACCATGAGTTAAGACTGACCACAGCTCCTACAGTTGGACCAAAGGTTGAAAAACAGTGTTTCTACATAAGACAGGACATTACAGTCTGGTAACAGAACAGCTGCTGCTGGGCCAGTGCTGGCCTCTGTGGACACCCCTGGTTTAGATGAACACGTCCTCTCTCGTGATGACACACTGAGATTTTTTTATTSCCTGTTTTAGTTTTTATCACCTCACCCAAATAACCTGAGTCTGTCTGAAATATCTTACGAACCTCTAAACACAGCTTAATGAAGTTTTTATAACCTAATGATGAATTCAGAAACTGTAAAGTCTAAAACTAAGACATTAAATTGTTTGTTTYTGCCTCTTTTTGTTGGCTGAATAAAGGATATTCTTTATGAAAAGACAACAGAACAAACGTGATGAAAGTAAAATAAACAATCAGTCGATCAAACATCCWTTTCCGAGCAGCACATTTCATCAGATCAGGGTGTAGGATGCTGTTGCTTAGCAACAAATTACTTTGGCGGCACCCCCTCCCCCTCCCCGTCCTTCACACATCCACCCTCCTCAGAACCAAAACAAGCCTCTGCCTGTCAGAGCGGCTCGCCCAGCGCAGCAACAAGTCCGGTGGGTTGGAGCCGCTCACCCCTCCCTGAAGGTAAAAACCAGGTTTGCTCAGCAGCTGCTTCCTGCGAGGGTCCATCAGTCACGGACCTGCGCGTCTCCATGACGACTGTGGAGGGGGGTTGTGTGATGCAAGGTGCACCGTGGTGAACAAAGAGACACCTCTGGGGGGGAGGGGGGTCACAGGTTGACTCATTAYCACCTCACTGTAAAAAACAACTGATTTCATTTAATTTACCTGGTTTCAAAATCTAGATTTAAAAACCGACAACATGAAATAAAACATGGACCTGTGKTTGAAACCTAAATAAAATTAACTTGAACACGTTTTATTTCTTTTTTGTTTTTTAGGAGCTGGTGTAAATCTGGTCAATGAAACAATAGTTTTTGTTTCATGTTTTTTTTTCTGCATGGGAAAATGATGAAAACAAACTAATGTTTTTAATAGGCAATATTATGTGTTTCTCAGGCATATATTTAAATTCTATAACATAATAAAGTAACAGTAGCTGTGTTTCCATTGCAAATGTGCGCAAAACTTTGTCGATTTTCTGTTAATGTCGAAAAACAAAGTTTTGTAACTGCAG